AGGAGGGGGGGGGACGGGGGGGCAGTGGCGGCGGCCCGCAGGGCAGGCAGTGCGACCGCAGCCTGCGCGGCGCGAGGCGGGCGGGGCCGGGCCTGCCCCGCCGCCTCCCACCTCGTGGGGGGGGAGGAGAGGAGGAGGAGAGGAGGAGGGGAGGAGGAGGAGGAGGAGGAGGAGGAGGAGGAGGAGGAGGAGGAGGAGGAGGAGGAGGAGGAGAGGAGGGAGGAAAAGGAGGAGGAGGGGAGAGGAGGAGCAGAGCAGAGGAGAGGAGAGGGAGGAGGAGGAGGAGGAGGGGAGAGGAGGAGGAGGAGGAGGAGGGGGATGGGGGAGGGGGGAAGGAGAGGAGAGGAGGGGAGGAGGAGGGTGGATGGGGGGAGGAGAAGATAGGAGAGGAGGGGTGGAAGATGGGAAGAGGAGGGGGGGGAGGGAGGGGGGAGATGAGGGGGGAGAGGAGAGGGGGAGGATATGACGGGGGGGAGGGGGGGAGAGGAGAGCGCAACACTTCGGACGGCAATTCGTCCAGGCATAGTGGGGCTTGACTGCCTCTCAGGCCTACCTCACACCGAGGGGGGAGGGAGAGGAGAGGAGGATAGAAGAGGATGGGAGAGGACCGATCGCGAAGCGAGGTGACAAGACAAGACAGGTGACAAGACAAGGCAGAAACACACCAGCACGAGCATTCGGCTCGGCTCAATGTCCGGTTACCTTCAGGAATTTACCCTCGTGTATCCTGAACTGGAGGGGGAGAGGAAAAGGGAGGGTGGAGGGAGGGGGGGAAGAGGGGGGGAAGAAGAGGAGGGAGGAGGGAGGAAGCCTGGTCGGAGTAGGTTGGGTCGGAGGATCGCGCCCGCATCGCCGATACATTAGCGATGTATCGCCGATGCATCGGCGCCGTCGGTGATGCGCAATCGGCAGTGCAAGGAGTGCACATGAAGGAGGAGAGGTGGCGGATGAGCAGGAGGACGAGGAACGTGAGGATGAGGAAGGATGAGGAGGAAGGGCAGCAGCGGGAGCACGAGCAGGGGCAGGAGGAGCGGCTGTGGGACAGGATGGCCAGGGAAGGCGGAGGAGGGGCAGGGAAGGGGGCGACCAAGATGAGGAAGGAGCCGGACCGAGCAGAATACGGCTCGCGCTGCGGCGAGAATGCCGCTCTGGACGGGAAGACAGCGCCGGTCCTGAAGACCAGGGCAGCCCGGAGCGGGAACGGCGCCCCGCTCGCACGGGGTCCAGGGAGAGAGGATCAAAGTCGGAGGTGCGGGGGGGTGAGAGGGAGCCCACAAAGGACGTACGCGCCCAGCTATGTAGACGAACACGGCCCGTCGATTCGCGAGACGGGCCGCGTGATACGAACATCTGTGCAATGCGTGCTCTCGAAACCAGCGTGGACTCGTGTACATGTACGTCCCTCTTTCGCTCCTGAGGTGAGATCGCAAAGGAATGGAGAGCCCGCCACCGGGAACTCGGCTTCGGTTTCGTGCCCGTGCCGCGCGTGCGGGCGAGGCGCGGCTGCGCGGGCGCGCACGTGGCTACAGGGGCTGAGCGGAGCCGGCTGTCCGCCCCCGCCCCACCCTGGCGCGCGGAGGCCGGGGGGGCCCGGCGGTGTGTCCCGTCGGTGTCCCGTCGGTGGCGCGGGGTGTCCCGTCGGTGGCGCGGGGTGTCCCGTCGGTGGCCCGGCGGTGAGATCGATGGCGAGATCGATAGGGAGTTCGATTGTGAGATCCGGTGCGGGATCGATCATGGGATCTCTTGCGAGATCGAGAGAGAGAGATGTTGTGATAGCGATAGTGGGATATATTGTAAGATCGGTGGTGAGATCGTTCGTGAGATCTATAGTGGGATCGACAGTGAGATCGATACTGAGATCGATCGTGAGGTCGATTGTCGGATCGAGTGTGAGACCGATGGTGAGATCGACTGTGAGATCGATAGTGAAACCGATTGTGAGACCTGTTGTGAGATCGAGAGTGAGTCCGAATGTGAGATCGATAGTGAGATCTGCTGTGAGATCGATGGTGAGATCGATAGTGAGATATGTTGTGAGATCGATCGTGAGATCGCTTGTGAGATCGATTGTGATAGTGAGGTCGATTGTCGAATCGATACTGAGATCGGTACGTAGATCGATTGTCGGATCCATTGCGAGATCGATAGTGAGATCGATTGTGAGATCTGTGGTGGGACCGATAGCGAGAACCACCGTTGTGATATCGATAGTGGATCCGAATATGAGATCGATAGTGAGTTCGATTATCAGATCGATGGTGAGATCGATTGGGCGATCGATAGTGCGATCTGCTGTGAAATCTTCGATCGTGAGAACGCTTGTGAGATCGATCGTGCATTCGATTGTCAAATCGATAGCGAGACCGATTGTGAGATCGATACTTTGATATGATGTGAGATCGATAGTGGAATCAATTGTGAGATCGATAGTGAGATCTGTTGTGAGATCGGTAGTGAGATATGCTGTGAGATCGATGGTGGGATATGTTGTGAGATCGATGGTGAAATAGCTCGTGAGATCTAGTGGGACCGACAGTGAGATCGATAGTGAGATCGATTGTGCGATCGATTGTGCGATCGATTGTGAGACCGATGGTGAGATCGACTGTGAGGTCGATAGTGAAACGATTGTCAGATCGATGGTGAGATCGATTAGGAGATCGATTGTGAGATCTGTTGCGAGATCTGTTGTGAGATCGATCGTGATAGTGAGTGAGATTGTCAAATCGAATTTGAGATCGATCGAGAGATCGATTGTCGGATCGATTACGAGATCGATAGTGAGATCGATTGTGAGATCGAGAGCTTGATCGACGTGAGATCGATCGAATGCGACGTTGGCTCCCCCTCTCCCCCAAGAAAAAAACCTCCATGTCACCCGAAGGGTGGTCGTAGAGGTATTCAGATTCAGCAAGTGTGCGAGGAGGAGCGACGAGGCAGGAGGTAGGAGAGAGGATAGGAGGAGGAAGGAGAGGGGAGGGGCCATATTTGACATGAGATCCCTCTCTCACATCCCCTCCCAGTGCGCTGATAGTTTCTCTATATCCGCGGACTCGTGTCATAACCGACCTGGGAATACACAAAAGACCAGGGGACCTCTGTGGCCTGTGGGGCCTGCGAGACCTGCGACGCATGTGGGACATGAGGAACCTCCGGGGCCTGTGGGACCTGTGGAAACTGCGGTCCCCGTGGGACCTGCGAGACCTGTGGGCCCCGTGGCACCGGCGGGACCTTCGGGACCTGTGGGACGTGGGTGACCTATGTGAGAGACGTGAGACATGCGACACCTCTTGGACCCGCGGGACCTGCGGGACCTGTCGGACCTGAGGGACATGTGGGGCATGCGAGCCCTGCGGCACCTGTGGGACATTTGGACCTGTAGAACGTGTCAGACAGGTGGCACCTGTATAACCTGTGCGACATTTGTGTCCTGTAGAACCTGTGGGACCTCTGGGGCATGCGAGACCTTCGAGACCCGTGGGATTCAGAAACATGACCCACGCTGGAGCGGGAGCGCCTCTCTGAACAACAGGAACATAGCGCCGATCCGAAACCGAGGCCCACGCTGCAGCGAGAGCAACCTTTCTGAAAACATGTAAGCAAGCATACTTGTTTTATTACAGGAAAAGCACCCCCACAAAAACAAACGAAAAGCCAGTTCGCGCAAATACGATGTAACAACCAAGACGCCGAGGGGGGGGAATACTCTCAGGACATATTCGGGGGAGACAGGAGAAAGGCATTATGATTTTAGTAGTTGTAGAAAGCACAAGAGGAGAGGGGAGGAGAGGGGTGGGAGGGGGAGAGGAGGGGGCAAGAGGGGGAGGGGAGAGGGGAGGCATTTTGACTACAAGGTATCGCATTGCAGGAGCATGCGTTGACTGTCAACCTGGCAGCAACTGAAAGACTTACCAGGCGGTCCCCTGCCCAACACCTGACAGGGCCCTGCGCCGCTTAACTTCGGAAGTCAGGAAGGCCTGGTGCATCGATGCGGCATGGCCGTCAGCAAGAGAATGGAGGAGGGAGGAGGGAGGGGGAAAGAGAGGGGAGGAGCGAGGGGGAGGAGACAAGCTAGGTGCGCAAGCGTCTTATCTGACGCCCTACCCCCCCTCCCATCCCGTACCATCTCCTTGATCCCCTCTTTATTCGCACGTTCGAGCAAGGCAGTAATCCCAAGAGGGTACGACATGCATGACAGTCCAAGGCGTAGCACGGCATAGAACAGCACGGCAGAGCGCAACATGATCGGAGGGAAACCAAACATGACGCACGACGAACTTGAACGGTTCGGAAGTAGTAGTCATAGTGTGCAGTTGTGGAGAAGCGAAGGAGGAGGGGAGGCGGAGAGGAGGACTGGCGAGGGGGCAGCAGACGCTGGGCGCTGGAGAGGGAGGAACCCTGAAGGCCAGGATCCCGAGGAAGCATGGGGAGACGAAGAAACGGGCACCGAAGGAACGCGGAAGGGATGGGAGTGGGTGTGGGAGGATGCGGGGGTGGGCGACGGAGGGGGGGGCGGGGGGAGGCGGGGGGAAGAGCGGAACAGGGAGGCAGGAGGCGAGGGATGAGGGGCAAGGAGTGGAGGGGGGGGAGGGAGGAGGGGAATGGGAGAAGGGGGGGAGGAGGAGGGAAGGAGGAGGCAGGGAGGAGGGGAGGCGGACGAGGGGGCAGGATGAGGGGAAGCAGTGGGGGTCTGGGACCCAAAGAGAGGAATGGAGGACGAGGATTGTGTTGCTCCCGTAGGATTTTAAGGAGCACGTCCCAAAAATGATTTCGAGCACCCAGAAAAGTGCCGAAACGGTGTCGGACGAATATCGCCTCCCAGGGCCCGACGCGTGAAAACCATCCAGTCTCGGTACGTTCTTGGTGCTCGAAATTCGCTCTGGTGACCAAGGCTAAAGTAGGTTAGAACGTCATAGGACGAGGAGGAAGGCTGGATGCTGGAAGAAGGAAGGAGATGGAAGAAGGGGGAAGGAGGGAAGGGGGAGGTGCGACCAGTGGTCCTTGTCGCCATCCCCCATGAGCGTGGTGATGATGGACTGCACGTCGGAGGAGAACATTACTCCTCGTCGCGTGTATCATCAATATCGTCATCCTCGTCTTGCGTGCAATCGTCCTCATTATCGTCCTCGTCCTCGTCCTCGTTCTCTTCCGTACCATCCCCCTCCTCCGTATCCTCCGTATCAGCATCGCCACAATCAGCATCACAATCATCATCAGCATCATCATCATCAGCATCATCATCAGTATCATCATAATCATCATCATCATCATCATCACCAACATCAGCATCAGCATCAGCATCAATCATCAACAGCAGTATCATCATCAGCCACATCATCATCAGCAGCAGCGTCAGCATCATCATCATCAGCAGCAACAGCATCAACATCATCATCATCATCGGCAGCAGCAGCATGTTCCTCAACATCAACATCACCATCATCATCATCATCACCCTCATCATCCTCATCAGCATCAGCATCAGCATCGCCAACACCATCATCAGCATCAACATCATCACCAGTGCTACCATCATCATCACCATCATAGTTATCAGCACTAGCATCATCAACATCATCATTACCATCATCACCATGGTCGCCATCAACAGTAGCATCGTCGTCGTCATCGTCAGCATCAGCAGCATAACCCTCATTAGAATAATACGCATCATCATCACCATCATCAGCATCATCAGCATCACGGGCGTCGCCGTTATCATCATCAGCATCATCATCATCAACGTCATCATCATCGTCAGCATCATCGTATTCGTCATCCTTCTGATAATCGTCACCATCAGCATCAGCATAATCATCGTAATCACCATCAGCAGCCTCATCGGCATCAGCATCGCCAGTATCATCATCATCATCATCAACAGCAGCATCATCCTTATCAACGTAATCATCATCATCCTTATCAGCATCATCATCATCGCCATCATCATCATCATCATCAGCAGCAGCAGCATCATCATCAGCAGCAGCAGCAACACCATTATCAAACTCAGACTCGTCCTCATCCTCATCCTTATCCTTCTCCTCTAACTCCACCTCCCCATCCCTGCTCCTCACAGAAAACTCCTCCCGGTCGCACCCCGAGGCAGGTCGGCGGGGCGGGCTGCGCTTGAAAAGCCCCCGCCACTCATGATCATGAAGCCTTGCCTTGAAATTTGCAACAGTTCCAAGGCTGGCGGGCGGGTAGATTTCGAAATGTGGCTCCCGCCTCGGTGCCGCGCACAGTCGTTTCTAGAGTGCACGAACACTTTCAGGGAGGGCGGCCGGTTTCCAAAATGTGGATCTCGCCCTATCGCCGCGCACATTCGTCTTACAGTGCTGCAAGAGTTGAACGGATTCGTATAGCGGACGTCCAAGGGATGGTATTTCGGCACGAATTACGATTGTCAGGACGCAACAGTCACGTTGATTCGCTGTGTTGAAGTCCCAGGTAGTGCTCTCTAACATGATTCCCGATTGCCAGGACGCAACATTCACGCTGACTCGCGGCGATGAAATCCCAGGAGCAATGTTTTGGTACAGTGACGATTCTCAAACGGTTGTCTTTCGATGGTGTACTCCCCGCAGTCGCAAGAAAGTCTTATAGAAACGTATGTACACGAGCCATGGAGGGAGGATGAATTGCAACATCGTTGACGCACGTGGTGTCTATGACCTCTTCGCCGATCTCAACTGTCCTGCAGGACGCCCCGCCTGGTAGCGCATGCCGCCACGGCGTGCCGACGTCCGCGAACGCACCATGCATTGAAGTCAAACGACGTCTTGCTGCACATTGCATCGATCCTCCTCGCCCTGTGAGGCGTATGGACCGTGCACGGCGGCCTCGTGGCCAGGAGGAGGAGGAGGAGGAGAAGGAGGAGGAGGAGGAGGAGGAGGAGGAGGAGGAAAGGGGAGGAGGAGGAGGAGGAGGAGGAGGAGGAGGGGAGGAGGAGGGGCGCGGAGGAGAAACAGCAGGAGGAGGGGGAGGGGGGAGGAGGGCGGATGAGGAGGAGGAGGAGGAGGAGGAGGAGGAGGAGGAGGAGAGGAGGAGGAGGAGTGAGGAGGAGGAGGGGAGGAGGAGGAGGAGGAGGAGGAGGAGAGGAGGAGGAGAGAGGAGGAGGAGGAGGAGGAAGGAGGAGGGGAGGATGGAGGAGGAGGAGGAGGGGGGGTGCACTGAGCCAAGCCTCGGGACGACCACGGGGAACGCAGGGCGACGACCGCGCTGGGCACGGCTCCGCACGGGGGCACCCGTGCAGCTCCGACAGACAACGCCAGGCCTCTTCCACCTCCACAGCCTCCTCCTCCTCCTCCTCCTCCTCCTCCTCCTCCCCCTCCTCCTCCTCCTCCTCCTCCTCTTCTCCTCCTCCTCCTCCTGACTTCCCTGTGCTTAAATCCCCCCACCCTCCTCCTCCTGCTGCTCGTGCTTCTCCTCCTCCTCCGACATGTGGTCACAATATGTGCGGTGCGGTAACCGTCGTGGACACACTGCTATCATACCGATTCGGGCTCCGATCCCTCCTCTTTTACGTTGAGTGGACACCAAGGCCAGGCTCGTTGCGTGCCAATCCCTCCTCCTTCTCCACCTCCTCCTCGTGCTTTTCATCCTCCCCTCATCCGCCACTGGACGCTGCCATGCATGCCCCTTCTCATCGCCAAATTAGTCCCCCAGAGCTTCTGAAGTGCAGGTCCGTCATCCCTCCCGACAACGATGTTGGCTACGACGGTGATAACAACACGATGGATATGACGACGATTCTGACAGCCAGTGCGGATGCAGATGAGGGCCAGGACGTTGAAGACGACGGCAGCGACGATGACGAATACTTCGATGACGACAAGGATATCGACGACAAGGTGAGGGCGATGATGATGACGGCGACGATGATGACAATGGGATGACGAAGATGGTTCCGACGACGATTACGACCACGACTACGTCAGTGACCGCGCCGACCGTGGCAGCAACGGACACGCAGACGACGACAGCCAAGACGACAACCGCGACCACGATTAGGACAGCGACCGCGTCGACGACGACGATAACGACTACGACCACGACGACGCCCATCACCACGCAGTCGACGACAGCCACGACCACGACGATGACGACGACCACGACAACAACCACAACCACAACCACGACGACAACGACCATGACCATGACAGTGACGAGAACGACAACGACGACGACGGGGTCCACGACGGCGACCGCAGTCACGACCCCTGGCAAGACCACAATCACGACCGCGACCACGACGACAACGACCACGACGTCGAGACGTCGACGATGTCTTCGACGATGACTGACCACGGCCATGACGACAACGACCACGACCATGAGCAAGACCGCGGCAACGATCACGACCAAGACCAAATCACGACGACCACGACGACGACGACGGCGACGACGACCGAAACAACGACCACGACCACGACGTTGGCGATGGTCACGACCACGACGGCAACAACCACGACGACGTCCACAACCACGACGACAGCAAACACGATTACGACCACGGCCATGACGACGAAGACGGCAACAACAACGATCACGACCACGACCACGACCACGCCGACGACGACGAAGACGACGACGGTCACGACCACGACCATGACGATGGCCACGACCGCAGCCACGAGCAGGACGATGGCTACGACGACGACAACGCCCACGACGGCTGTGACGACGACGACGACGACCGCGACCGCAACTACGACGACCACCGCGACCCAGACGACGACGACGACCAGGACCACGACAACGATGACCACTGCCACGACGACGACCAGGACAGCGACTATGACTACGACCACGACCACGGCTACGACAACGACCACGACGAACACGACCACGCGCACGACGGCTACGACAACGACAACAACCACGTCGACGAGCACGACCACGACGATGACGACGACAACCACTGCCACGACAACGACCACGACTACAACGACCACGACGGCGACCACGGCGACGACGACGACCATCACCGCCACGGTGACCACGACCACAACGACGACAACGACCACGGCCACAACAAAGGTAGCCACGACCACGTCCACGGCCACGATAACAACCACGAGCACGACGACGACGATTACGACGACCCAAACATCATGACGACGACCACGACGACGACGACCACCTCCCCATTGCAAGAAGCCGCGAGGTCCAACATCTGAGGGGTGTGTGCCGAAACGGGCGTGGCAACGCTGCGGGGACTCCCACTTGGACTTTCGGTGGACCTCCCTGTGGGGGCACGAACCATGTGACGGTGTGCCGACATTTGCGCGGCAACGCAATGCCGACTCCCGAACAGATCCATTGGGGCCTTCCGTGAAACCCCATATATGGAGCCAGGAAACGCGTGATGGGATGCGCTGAAATGAGTGCGGCGGCGGCGCCCACTCATGGGCCAACTTTTTTGTGGCGTCAGTTTTTCAATATAAAAAGGAAACCACGATGGTTCCTCGATTTAGACCTTGTTGTGTTATGGTTAGCTTCGTGTTTTTGTTTGGTTTGTATGTCTACATAACTTGTTTGATGCAAATAGATCAAAAAACCAGATATGGAATAGTTCGGATAGATAAGAGCGGGCCTTAAAGTCCCCTCCCCCTCGCCGCAATTCTCCTCCTCCTCCTCCTGCTGCTCCTCCTCCTCCTCCTACTCCTGATCATCATCATTATCATCATCGTAACCACCATCACCATCATCACCCTCCTCCTCCTCCTCCTCCTCCTCCTCATCATCATCATCATCATCATCATCATCATCATCGTCATCATCATCATCATCATCATCATCATCATCATCATCATCATCATCATCATCATCATCATCATCATCATCATCATCATGATCATCATCAGCATCATCATCAGCATCATCATCATCATGATAATCGTCATCGCCACCATCATCAACATCAGCATCATCGCCATCATCAGCATGATTATCATCATCACCATCATCATCACCCCCTCCTCCTCATCATCCTCCTCCTCCCTCCTTCCTTCTCCTCCCCCCTCCTTCCCCATCCTCTCCGCTTCGGTGGCGACGAAGTCGGTGACGCGTGAGGCGACTGGGAGGCCGCGTCCAGTTGATTCCTGCATCGAGTTGTCAGTTATGCTTGCTTTCATGGTGCACACACTTCACTTTTATTCATTGTATCTTTGAGGTTGGGCTGTGTTTTTGGTGGATGCCCATTGCGTTTGTGTGTCAGCATGCGATTTGATTTTGTGTAACTTGATGTTTGTTTCGTTTACAGCTGTTTTGTGGGGGTCAGCTATTATGTTTGGTGTCAGTTCTGTTTGCAATTCAGAAACGACAGCTGTTTCTGAGTTTGACCTTGATGTTTCATGGGTGCCATCGTGTTTCTTTGCTTGATGTATAGGTCGTTTTTTGACGAACATAAATCTACACAGGTCGTAAATAGCTATAAAAATAGATATGGAATAGTTCGGATATATATTGGGGCGGGCCTTGAAGCAGTCCAGCCCCAGCCCCAGCCCTGGCTCCGGCTCCGGCCTCGGCCTCGGCCGGTCCCGGCACGAGTCCCATAGCCACGGCCCCGGCCCTGGCCCCGGCCCCGGTCCCGGCCCCCGCCCCGG